TAATTAAACATAAACATAAATTTTGAAAGTGTGTTTTAGATGGAATATAAGAAATCACAGGCCAATCACTGCTCATTGGTTTTGAATAAAATAGACTCCCAATGTTTATATTAGTATGTCCAGATAACCATACTTCAGTGAATTGAAGACGTCTTGGTGCTACAAACATTAAATGCTCACTCATATTCAGCTTTCCTCTCCTGTGGGGTGCTGAGAAGGATTAAGCTTCCCAGTTTCTCTTGCAGTTGGGCAGAGCCTTGTGACTAATTCTGACTAATTCTAGCCAATGGGTTGGAGGAAAAGGTGATATGACACTGCAGAACTGGAGTATTTAACAGCTGGCATGAGATCCTCCAGGGCTCTGTCTTTCCCTAGAGTAATGACAAGGAGAACATGTGTCAACATGGAAGGGCCATACCAGGCCATCCCATGGAAGGCAGTTGTTTAAGTAAAGAGTATAAATCTTCGTGGTTTTAAGTCCCTGAGCTTTTCTGATGATTTGTTTTTGCACATCACTGCAAAACAAAATGGACTGCTGTTTTATATACCGTTGTTATAATGCTCTTCATCCTCTTCTTCACAGTTAAGAAACATAGGGTCTTTAGCAAGGTTTAACAATCATTCCTTCTGAAATCAGACTACAAGTTTATACATTAGGAGCTTTCATTCTGTCGCCAAACACGTGCCCTGCGGATTCCAACACAGTGTTCTTATAAATGACAAGAATTCAGTGTAAGATACAGAATAATCTTAGAGATACTACAATGTGAAAATTATGGACCTTAGATTAGATGAAATACAGATTGTTAAGGAATTTATTAAAGCAGATTAGCATAGTGTCAAGAACCCCAAAGCTAGAGTTGGGACAAAAGGTTATGGATTCAATTTCTAACACCCAGTAGCTTGTGTCTTAGTAGCTTGTATAAGCCTTAGTTTCCTCATCTGTGAAATGGGATAATAGTAGAAGTGGCTGCATAAGCTTTTGTGAATATTAAATGTGTGCAGCATAGTAATTATTTCACACACTTTAGTCTCCATATTTGGTTAGATCACAGAGCTTGTTCAAGATAAGCACTCATCTCAGGAAAACTTTTTTAAGTTTGTTATTATGCCATATTAACCAATCAGCTCACACATATTAATTCCTCACCAGGTATGCAGACTGGGTCTCTGAGTTAGGTGTTCTTGGTAATAACAAAGTAGCAGATCTGGGGGTTGAGGGCCCAAGGTAGGTCATCCTCAGGTCTTCCCGTCTTCTATCTAAATGTGTTTTCTAGGTGACTCAGTGAATCAGGGTAGAATGATCAACAAGACCAGCTTTGAAGAGCAAAAGAAGTCACAGAATTAGGCTGGGTATGGTGACTCACACCTGCAATCCCACCAGTTTGAGAGGCTGAAGTGGGAGGACTGTTTGAGCCTAGGAGTTCAAGACCAGCCTGGACAATATAGCAAAGACTCGTCTCCACAAAAAAATAATAAAAATTAGCCAGGCATGGTGGCACATGACTGTAGTCCTAGCTACTCAGGATGCTGAGGTAGAAAGATGGCCAGAACCCAGGAGGTCGAGACGACCGTGAGCTGTGATTGTCACGATCATGCCACTATACTCCAGCCTGGATGACAGTTGACAGAGTGAGACCCTGCCTCAAAAAAAAAAATAAAAAAATAAAAAAAAGGAAGTCACAAAATTGTACGTGAGGCAGTATGAAAGGGGTAGGAAAGGGAAAATCGAGGACTAAATTGGTTTGTCTTGGAGCCTGGGGTGAGTGGGGTGTGTGTGTGTGTGTGTGTGTGTGTGTGTGTGTGTGTGTGTGTGTGTGTGTGTAGAGAGAGAGAGAGAGACAATATGAACTGGTGGTTGGACAGCAAATGGGAACGGAAGTGCGGCCTTCTGGGAAATGCATGAATTGCTCCTACCTACGTAGGGTTATACTCATGGATTGCGAAGTGCTCTAGGGAACATTATTTGACCCATTGAAATCCAAATTCATAAAGCAACAACTCTTGTTATAATGCTCTTCATCCTCTTCTTCACAGTTAAGAAACATAGGGTCTTTAGCAAGGTTTAACAATCATTCCTTCTGAAGTCAGACTAAAAGTTTATATATTATGAGCTTTCATTCTGTCGCCAAACACGTGCCCTGGGGATCCCAACACAATGTTCTTACCTTGGCTTTCTGGAGCACATATCCTTGTGCAAGAACATGTGACTGTTGAATACCATTTAAAAAAATCAAATGCCTGAACCCTCACAGAGTAAGTCAACCTCCCAAAAGGAAGTATAACTGCTTCTAAATATAACTCTGAGATACAGTTCACCTTTTCTGTTTATTTTATTCCTAACTTGTGAAACTGTATCTTAGGACCTGGGGTATATAACTTGTCATTTGAGATCAGCTGCACAACAGTGAAACAATTGTAATGTTTCTGGCACCCAAGGAAACTGAGGGGACTTAAATATGTTTCCAGAAGACAAAAAGCTTCTTTTTTGTGTAACAATTTTCAACATGTTTCCACAGTTTTAGAATCTTCAAACATTATTTGACTCATTGAAATCCACATTCACAAGGCAGCAACTCTTGTTATAATGCTCTTCATCTTCACAGTTAAGAAACATAGGGTCATTAACAAGGGTCATTCCCCTCCCCCCCAAAAGATTTTGTACTCTTTCCCTCATTAAAGAGGAAGAGGACAAAACAGAGAAAACAACGAACTCCAACCCACATGTTATTTATCAGATGTTCTGGATAAAATTCAGCTGAAAAAACCCAAAAGACTTTTCCTCCACCCATGCCAGCCAATGCCTTAGGGTATATAGTTCCCACTGCAAAACACACCCCCACGCACACACGCGCGAATGTTGTGTTGTCTTCTCAGCAGTGAGGGGCATGTTAGTGCGAGCCGGTCTGGTCCTCTGGCATTTTGGCCTCGCGGGCATCGAGGGTGCGGCGGGGGCTGCCGGGCTGCGAGGTCTGGACGGTTCACTCACACCCTGGTGTGTACCTAGATACGCACTCCAAGGCTATGGGACAATCTGGACCGGAGGACGCTCGCACCGCAAAGCTGCCCGCACCGCAAAGCGCGCCCGAAAGGCCGGCCGCCCTCCTCTCGGGACGCCTTGCGTCCCTGCGGAGCGTCCCAGGAGCTGTGACTTCTCCTCGGCGCCAAGGTTTCGCGCGGACCCCGACGGGCGCGAAGCCCAGTTCGCTCCGGCCTCCTGGCTCGCCCGGGATCCGGGAGCCACGCGGCGTAGGGTGCGTCCTCCCCTTGCTTCCCCGGGACTGGGGAAGGGGAGGAAAGAGGGGAGAGGAGGTGCTCAGCTCTCCCGGGAGCACGCCCAGGTGTGTGTCCGTGGGCGTCCAGGAAACCAAATGATGCTAAAATGCAGAACGGCCGACGTGGAGGTGCTCAGGCCTCCTGGGTGCACCCCCAAATGTCCCCAACTTGACGTTTAAGAAACAAAACAATGCTAAAACGCAAATGAGGCACACTCATACCCAGAATGAACCTCGTTTGACAGGCCAAACTGAGAGTTCCATGGAAAGCTTGCTCACAACCCCACATTGAATTCATCTATCTTTTAAGTAGTTTAAAAAATTGTGTAATTTTAAGTTCCGCCACTGTCACAAAGAACACTCCACAGTACACGCCGTGGAACAATGGACACCCCCATATCGCATTGTGTCAGGTAATTACGAAGTGTCGCGTGCGGGAAAGCGAAGCCGGGGACGTCAACGTGTCCCCCGCAGCGTGTAGGAGCGTCCAGAGCCGCGTGTCGCACGGGGACCTCATCACACCATTCGCACCAAAGCCCCGGCCCAGGGAGAGGCACTGACACCGCCCGACCTTGGCCCCACGGGTGAACGGAGAGGACTCGGGACCGGGCGTGTGAGCGCAGAGGGGGCGAGCCGGCTCCGTGGAGGGCAGACGCGACGTGGGGAGAGAGTGCGATCTCGCGGGGGGCGGGGGCATCCCACCGGGGCGTGGCGGGGGCGCCCGGGTCCCTGAGGGGCGCGAGACCCTCCCGGACCCTGGCGCTCCCAGCGACACACACTCGGCCTTTTGGGCTAAATCCGGGGCATCTGGATAAGGGGGCACGCGGGGTCACAGGGTAAAGCTGTTGCTTTGTAGCAGGGCATCCGTGTGTGTGTGTGTGTGTGTGTGTGTGTCTGTGTGTGTGTGTGTGTGTGTGAGAGAGAGAGAGAGAGA